TCCTACAATGTGATTTTCTGGATTTTTTTCTTTTCTCATTTTGTCTGTCATAGTTGATGTGTACCTATGATGAAAATTACAGGCCTCTCTCATCTTTTTAAGTGGGAGAACTTGCACAATTGATGGCTGACTAAATACTTTTTCCCCCCACTGTAGTTATGGTTGTAAAGCTATGGTTGTAAAGCTTTGTCATTATGGGGTATTAATGTATGCACTCACTAACTGTATGTCGCTCTGGATAAGAGTGTCTGCTAAATGACAAAACATTTATATGTAAAAATGTATTGTGTGTAGATTGTGGAAAAAGACAAGAGGTCTGAATATTTTCCCAATGCACTGTATATACACTTGTGTGTATGTGGACACCCCTTCAAATTAGTGGGTTAGGCTATTTCAGCCACACCCGTTGGTGAGAGGTGTATACAATCGAGCACACAGCCATGCCATCTCCATAGACAAATATTTGCAGTAGAACGGCCTTACTGAAGAGCTCATTGACTTTCAAAAGTGGCACTGTCATAGAATGCCACCTTTCCAACAAGTCAGTTCCTCAAATTTCTGCCCTGCTAGAGCTGCCCCGGTCAACTGTAAGTGCTATTATTGTCAAGTGGAAACATCTAGGAGCAACAACTGCTCAGCCGCGAAGTGGTAGGCCACACAAGCTCACAGAACAGGACCGCCGAGTGCTGAAGCGTGTAGTGCGTAAAAATCTTCTGTCCAAGGTTGCAACACTCACTACCGAGTTCCAAACTGCCTCTGGAAGCAACGTCAGCACAATAACCTGCTTAGTGGTTAAGAGCGTTGTGCCAGTAACCGAAAGGTCGCTGGTTCTAATCCCTGAGCCGACTAGGTGAAAAATCTGTCGATGTGCCCTTGAGCAAGGCACTTAACCCTAATTGCTCCTGTAAGTCGCTCTGGATAAGGGCGTCTGCAGTAATAACTGTTTGTCGGGAGCTTTATGTAATGGGTTTCCATGGCCGAGCAGCTGCACACAAGCCTAAGACCACCATGCGCAATGCCAAGCGTTGGCTGGAGTGGTGTAAAGCTCGCAGCCATTGGACTCTGGAGCAGTGGAAACGCGTTCTCTGGAGTGATGAATCACACTTCAACATCTGGCAGTCCAACGGACAAATCTGGGTTTGGCGGATGCCAACGGTAAAGTTTGGTGGAGGAGGAATAATGGTCTGGGGCTGTTTTTCATGGTTCGGGCTAGGACCCTTAGTTCCAGTGAAGGGAAATCTTAACGCTACAGCATACAATGACCTTCTAGACGATTCTGTGCTTCCAACCTCGTGGCAACAGTTTGAAGAAGGCATTTTCCTGTTTCAGCATGACAATGCGGGGTCCATACAGAATTTTTTTGTCTGGATCGGAGTGGAAGAACTTGACTGGCCTGCACAGAGCCCTGACCTTGGGATGAATTGGAACGCCGACTGCGAGCCAGGCGTAATCGCCCAACATCAGTGCCCGACCTCACTAATGCTTGTGGCTGAATAGAAGCAGGTCCCCACAGCAATGTTCCAACATCTAATGGAAAGCCTTCCCAGAAGAGTGGAGGCTGTTATAGCAGCAAAGGGTGGACCAACTCCATATTAATGCCCATGATTTTGGAATTTGATGTTCGACGAGCAGGTGTCCACATACTTTTGGTCATGTAGTGTATTTTCATGCACCAGTACATAGTATGCACATTTACATCACAAAATCTTAAACATCAAAACTGAAAAAAGCAGTCACTGGGTGAGCTTCCTATACGAATATTTTTTTGACCACCCTCTATGTCACACCAATGAAGTGATGTGATTTTGATCATGTGGTTTCTCTGCAACGGCTTAGTAACAATGGTTTAGATTGTATATTTTCAGACAAATAAATACATGCGTCAGGATTAAGCTGCCCCAGTTTATAATGTCCCACTTTCTGAATTCACCCTTGTAGAATTCGATGCACACTAATGAGGAAGAGAATAATCTGTCGAGGCCCACGTGTGTCTGACAACAACTGATAATAAGCAGAGGGGACGCGCTGTACCAAAATGAATGAATAGCGATATCAACGTAACTGCCCAGATGATACATTCTCAGTAGGATGAGCCTAGTTGCTGATATTTGTTGCTTACTGCACTAATTTCTACTGACTTTTGAGAAAAGGACAGACAAATCTTCACATTTACAAGGCTAAAGGGGGCCATAGAGAGGGGCACTTACTCTGGTACAGTCCAATCAGTTAGGGCCATGGCCATTCATGCTGTACTGAATACCAGTGTTACAGTTAATGTGGGTATATTCAATTAAAACAACAATGTTGTACTCTCTGCTACTGTAGGAGTTTGTATTTTTTTCACTTCCGGTGTCAGGTTGTTACTACTGCAGCTCTGCATACCTATTGAATGGTTTGAAACGTAATGTAATATATTAAAATTGTACTAGTTCTTATACTGTAATAACCAGCAACAGCTAACTTTAATTAAAAAAGGCAGGCATGAAAGGTCACACTGAAATTAATTAATCTCCACAATAAAAGTTATGGCCCTCTCTCCTGCACGCAATCCAATACACCCTCTAGACTTAAAGATGCTATAATTTCATCAGAGATCATATATGAAATTTCAGATTCAAACTATGACAGATTAGGTCTATGAACTCTACGGGATTAGAGGCACTTCTCACTATTTTACCTGTTGGTTTGTAGCCACTCTCCCTGTTCATGGCTGTCACTCTTCTGCCATGATCACGATAGCGCCGAACAGAAGTCATAACACATGGAACACACATTCATGACCCATAATCACTGACGAAGTTAAATAAGGTCTCTTTTTCTTCTCCTCTCGACTGGCGCAACATCAATTGTTAACCCGATGAAGACAAACAGTTATTGTGCAAGTAATTATGTTGCTAGCGAGTATTAAAAATCGGCTTCAAAACAGTCAACAGCAGTTTTTAGTACAGCCATAACTACCCAGCGTTAGCTAGTTGGATAAAACCTGACATCTGAAAATGACTAAACTGTAAAGAACTAACCAGGAGATAGTTACTCACGTTCGTTCTAACGTTTCAAAGTTTCCTCACATTCATACACTTTTTACTTAAAGGGATACATAGAGGCTTTGGCAATGAAGCCCTTTATCTACTTCCCCAGAGTCAGACGAACTCATGGATACCATTTGTCTCTGCATTCAGAAGTTAAGAGTAATTTCACGAGCTAATGCTAACTAGTGCTTGCGCAATGACCGGAAGTATATGGCATCTACAAGCATGCTAGCTTGCATAGACTTCCAGTCACTGTGCTAATGCTAGTTAGCAACTTCCTTCAAACTGCAGGCAGTGGCATAAAAATTATATCCACGAGTTCACCTGACTCTGGGAAAGTAGTAGATAAAGGGTTTCATTGCCAAAATCCCTTTAAAAACGTTGTTGTTGGCAGCAATTACTTTCCCGTGTGGTGAGTAATGATGGTGGTGTTGCACAGTGCTTTTTCTCACTCTCACACTGCTTGTAACAACCAAGAGTGAGAATGATGGTGCTTTCAAGATAACTGGGAACTCGGGAGGGAAAAAACTAGGTAAAATCATGACGTCAGTGATCTTCAGGTCAGAAAGTCGGAGCTCTAGAAAGATGCTTGAGTTTCCGACTTGGATGACTGTTCAAATAGATTTCTCCCCAGTCGGAGCTCGGTTTTTTTTATACCCCGAGTGCCAAGTTGTCTTGAACGCATTGAAGTCTGAGATTTCCGAGTTCCACGTTGTTTTGAACGTGGCATTAAGCAGTCAGTGGGAGTGGGATAAGTGACTCCCGTTCCAGCAGCTGAGGCCTTTCAAAAATAAAAGTGCCTCAAATCTTGCGACTCGTGTTATAAAATAGTCACTTTTGGGTGGGACATTTTACCTGCTTCCAACATTGGGAGGGGGACATGTCCCCGCTGGCTCCTACATTGTGCTAAATACACACAAAAAGACCACTTGGAAACAAATCTAGATGGCACGAAACAGAAATGAATGTAGTCTCAGACATGCTTTCTCCTCATTTTTTGCCTACTGAACATTACTCTGACAACTCCCATAAAACTCATGACTCCATGAAGAGCGACACTTTCTGGAGATGTACCATTAAACCAGCTAAAATGCAGACTATGGAACAGCCCCAAACATTTGCTGCAGCATGACATCACAGTTTGTGCCACAACCTCAAGGACAAAAACATATTTGAACAATATACATTTGATTGAACTTTATTTACAAAGACAATTAGGGATTCCCATTCTTCGAAACAAAGAGTTCTGCTGGATAAAGATGTTCGGGTGCAGACCTGTAAAAGACAGATTGATAAGGCTTACAGGAACCTGATGACAGAAATCCCATTTCTGAGTAAACACCTGGGGTGTATTCATTCCGCCGATTCTGTGGCAAAACGTTTCTTAGACAAAAGGTTGAGGGGCCTACATGGATTTGTCCATTTGGTTCTTAAACGGTAAATGGTTTCTGTAATGAATACACCCCAGAGATAAATGTGACGATCGAAATTCAGGCTAACTTCCACCAGATATGCATCAGGGTCGGTAATAAACTATCACATTACTATGCTTATGTGCAGCTTATATTAAAAGCATAATTTTGTATATTATTTTGTCATTTAGCAGAAACTTATCCAGAGCAACTTACAGGCCCAATTAGGGTTAAATGCCTTGCTCAAGGGCAAATCGAGAGATTTTCCACCTAGTCTGCTTGGGAATTCAAACCAGTGACCTTTCGGTTACTGGCCCAACGCTCTTAAACGCTAGGCTACCTGCAGAACTGAAATATAAACTTGCATGACATTTGAAACTGTTGCCCACAGACACCAGGGTAATTTACTTTAGGGCTACTGTTGAATAACAAGACAACTATCGTGATAGATGTCACTGTTCCAATAGGGATGCAAGTAAATGCCAAACAGTGCTGACATTCAGATTAAAAATAGATCAGCAGCAATTACCTTGGAGGTTACGTGGCATTCATTGTCACTTCACTTCTTCAGGAGCTGGTGTCTGACGACGATGAAGGGGAAGGCGAAGCCACTGCCGAAGAACACCACCATCATGCCCAACAGACGCCACTTATTCTGCACTGAGAATGGCAGGTTCTATTGAACACAAACACAAAACAAAAGTGTTGAGCGATGACAACGTAATGAGTGTATCGCAGTTCAATGTGACTGAGTACATGGATATGGTTACGTCCAAGTGGGACTGCAAACATCAGCTTGAGGGCAGTCAGCGTCAACCAATACAATTGTGGCTAACTTGATGCAAGACTTTGAAAGTAGCTGGCTAACTGCAGTCATAACATCTTTCTGTTACATGGTCTGATCAAAGTATAATGTAACGAACTAGCTAACCATCCCTGGTAATCATGTTTGGAAGCTGGCCCTGTCAAGGCTTTACACTATATAGCTAGCTAAGTCAAGTATCTAGCTTGTCTAATCATTCAACAAGTCACCACTGCTAAGTTCTGAAAATCCATAGCAACATTTAAGTATATAGTTAGCTAACTAGTTAGCTAACGTTAGCCCAACAACTGCAAGTGTCAATTCCATATGGCTCACAGTTAACTGGCTAATAAAATAACCAGCAAGTGAATTAGCTAGCTAGAATGACATGCATATTTGTCCTAGGGCAACCCACCAAAAAAGGCATTTCGTGACCCAGGAAACAAAACTGCAAAGTTTCATCATTACGTAGATAATTGTATTAATATGAACACTGAGGTTCAAAATGTGTAAAAGTTGCACATTAATTAAATATTATAAATCAAAACGGTACAATTTTCGAAATCATAGCACATTTTGGGTAATTTCTTCTAGCAACATTATAAGGTTGCCATGTTATACCTTGGTTACAATTGTGACACGTTCCGTTGTCCATGCTTGCAGAAAGCAATGTATGTACTGGACAAGAGAAATCCCGAAATAATAGTTGATAAAATGTTGAAAGGTGTTCAATGAATTTTCCTCGTCGCTTTATGTTGCTGTCGGACCTTGAATGTTTAGAATGCTGTGTTAGCTAGCACACGTTCTGCTGTCTTTCGCTTGGCTAGTAGGCAAAAGCAATTATGCCAAATCGTCCTATAATATTAACTGAGGAAACCACTGTAACGTTAGATGGTTAAAATATATTTCCTTGTTTCGGGGTTCATCTGGAGGTGAAGGACCAGTAACGTGCTGCTTATGCAAGGACGAAGACAGAAAGAACAAATCGTTGTGGGACAGAGTGCAACAAAAGTAGCTACCCAAGGTGACAGTGTGCAACAAAAGTAGATAACCAAGGTGAAACATTGCGGAACGTTGCTAGGGAAATTATCAGAGATGCGCTATGATTTCGATATTAAAAATCATAACTTTCATAAAAAATGAATTAATGTGTTCATATTCATAACAATATCTATGTAATGTTGACATTTTGCAGTTTTGTTTCCTAGGTCACGGAACAAGACATTTTTGGTGGGTGGCCCTTGGACTATATTGAGCAAACTGAATATAAATTAAAGACGGGATATTAAATGTATGGCAGTAACGTTACTGTAGTTAACGTTACCTAGTCAGATTACATTAGCTGGCGGACATCAAGTTAGCTAGCTAATGTTAGCGTTTAGCAGTGTATAACGTTAGCTATGCTAGCTATGTTACGGGAAGTCAAAAAAACAAGCAGGAGTAAAAAATACAATAGACAATATTGTTGCTGCAACGTTGCATCTTGGAAAAAAACATAACTAGCTAGCGCTTGGTTTTGAAACGAGAAACCTGGAGGTTAGCTAGCACTAGCTTGTGACCTCCACGCAGACTTCTGAGGTGAGGCCCGAGTTATGAGCCCGCGGTTTTATTTAGCTAAAATGTGTAATCTTTATTTTTTGGAGGAGATTACCTGTCCTGGTCCCTCGGAGTAATGTGAGGAGCGAACCGCGGAGGTTGTGAATCGTCGTACAGCCTGTCGTAGCATGATTATTTTGAGTTTATTTGCTTGTTCCTTCAAACAAGAACAAATGTCTGCGACCTTCTTGTTGCTATAAGAGAGAACATTGAACAGCCTTATGGGAAATCAAAACGAGTTAGCTGGGTCTGGGAAATGTAGTTCTCCAGCAGATGTCGTTTTCCAGCAGATTTATTCTCATTATCCAGGGCGTAATAACTATAATTTATGGAGTCCATAAATTGTGATCCAACATAAAACCAAAGACAAAGTCTTAACTAATATGTAAAGTATTATTAACGTTAACGTCAAATAATATAAAATTAATAAATTGCTATGTGGCATCGATCTATTCTGAGCACAATTGAAGGTAGTCTATTTACAGTCCAGAACGTGTATTGTGATGTACAGTATCTGATGTTGATCAAGTTTATTGTTCCTGTGTTGCATTTGGGTGCATACTTATTTATATAGATATTTTCAGAGATATCTGTATCTCTATGGCCGGGGACCTGATACAGATGTAGGATTTTAATTTGAGCCAGTTTGCTACAGCAAATTAAGATTCTACAGCTGCAATGTTTCCCTCTGTGGTGATGTACCTCCCGAGTGGCGCAGTGGTCTGTCGTAGCCGGCCGCGACCGGGAGACCCATGGGGCGGCGCACAATTGGCCCAGCGTAGTCCAGGGTAGGGGAGGGAATGGCCCGCAGGGATGTAGCTCAGTTGGTAGAGCATGGCGTTTGCAACGCCAGGGTTGTGGGTTCGATTCCAACGGGGGGCCAGTATGAAAAATAAAAAAATAATGTATGCACTCACTAACTGTAAGTCGCTCTGGATAAGAGCGTCTGCTAAATGACAAAAAAATGTAAATGTAAAATGTACGCCTCTCATCAGGTCCTTGCTATGATTGCTGATGTGACATTTGCTTTTTTCCAAATGGCTTCCACTGTGTTAATAATAATAATATGCCATTTAGCAGACGCTTTTATCCAAAGCGACTTACAGTCATGCGTGCATAAATTTTGTGTATGGGTGGTCCCGGGGATCGAACCCACTACCTTGGTGTTACAAGCGCCGTGCTCTACCAGCTGAGCTACAGAGGACCACGTTAATGAGCTGATAATGAACCTGTCCATGTAAAATCAAATCAAATCAAATTTTATTTGTCACGCGCGCCAAATACAATAGGTGTAGACCTTCCCGTGAAATGCTTACTTAGAAGCCCTTAACTAACAATGCAGTTCAAGAAATAGAGTTAAGGAAATATTTACTAAATAAACTAATGCTGGTCCCCCTACCTCTGCGGAAGCACAGTTCCCACTCAACCCGCTCAGCCCAGTCAAAACTGTTCGCTGCTCTGGCACCCCAATGGTGGAACAAGCTCCCTCACCACGCCAGGACAGCGGAGTTACTGACCACCTTCCGGAGACACTTGAAACCCTACCTCTTTAAGGAATACCTGGGATAGTATAAAAGTAAACATTTAGAGCGCATGCTCTGAGTACACGTCCTGATAATCTGTCTGGCTCCGTGGCCTTGTGAATGTTGACCTGTTTAAAGGTCTTACTCACATCGGCTACGGAGAGCGTGATCACACAGTCATCCAGAACAGCTGGTGCTCTCATGCATGCTTCAGTGTTGCTTGCCTCGAAGCGATCATAAAAGGCATTTAGCTTGTCTGGTAGGCTCGCGTCACTGGGCAGCTCGCGGCTGGGTTTCCCTTTGTAGTCCGTAATAGGTTACAAGCCCTGCCACATCCGACGAGCGTCAGAGCCGGCGTAGTAAGATTCAATCTTAGTCGTGTATTGACACTTTGCCTGTTTAATGGTTCGTCTGAGGGCTTGGCAGGATTTCTTATAAGTGTTCGGATTAGTGTCCCGCTCCTTGAAAGCGGCAGCTCTAGCCTTTAGCTCGGTGCGGATGTTGCCTGTAATCCATGGCTTCTGGTTGGGATATGTACATACGGTCACTGTGGGGACAACATCGTCAATGCACTTATTGATGAAGCTGGTGACTAAGGTGGTATACTCCTCAATGCCATTGGATGAATACCAGGAACATATTCCACTCTGTGTTAGCAAAACAGTCATGTAGCGTAGCATCCGTGTCATCTGACCACTTCTGTATTGAGCGAGTCACTGGTACTTCCTGCTTTAGTTTTTGCTTGTAAGCAGGACTCAGGAGGATAGAATTATGGTCAGATTTGCCAAATGGAGGGCGAGGTAGAGCTTTGTATGCATCTCTGTGTGTGGAGTAAAGGTGGTCTAGAGTTTTTTTTTCCTCTGGTTGCACGTGACATGCTGGTAGAAAAGAGGTAAAATGGATGTAAATTTGCCTGCATTAAAGTCTCCGGCCACTAGGAGAGCCGCTTCTGGATGATCATTTTCTTGTTTGCTTATGGCCTTATACAGCTCGTCTTAGTGCCAGCATCAGTTTGTGGTGGTAAATAGACAGCTACGAAAAATATAGATGAAAACTTTCTTGGTAGATAGTGTGGTCTACAGTTTATCATGAGGTACTCTACCTTAGGCGAGCAATACCTCGAGACCTCCTTAAATATTAGACATCGCACACCAGCTGTTATTGACAAATTGACACACACCCCCACTCCTCGTCTTACCAGACGTAGCTGGTCTTTCCTGCCGATGCACCGGAAACCCAGCCAGCTGAATATTATCCACGCCGTCGCTCAGCCACGACTCTGTGAAACATAATATATTATTACAGTTTTCAATGTCCCTTCGGTAGGATAGTCTCGAGCGGAGATCATCCAGTTTATTTTCCAGTGATTGCACGTTGGCCAATAGGACGGATGGTAGAGGAGGGTTACCCACTCGCCGACGAATTCTCACAAGGCACCCCGATCTCCGCCCCCTGTATTTCCGTCTTTTCTTCACGCGAATGACAGGGATTTGGGCCTGGTCTCGGAGAAGCAGTATATCCTTTGCGTCGGACTCATTAAAGACAAAAATCTTTGTCCAGTTCGAGGTGAGTAATCGCTGTTCTGGTATCCAGAAGCTATTTTCGGTCATAAGAGACAGTAGCAGCAACATTATGTACAAAATAAGTTACAAACAATGCAAAAAAACACACAAAATAGCACAGTTGGTTAGGAGTCCGTAAAACGTCAGCCATCCCCTCCGGCGCCATTATATCGACGCCATTATAAGTGATCTCATTGTTTTGTATGGTAACGCCATGCATTAAAATATCAACGATAGTCACTTGTAAATACACTGCTCAAAAAAATAAAGGGAACACTTAAACAACACAATGTAACTCCAGGTCAATCACACTTCTGTGAAATCAAACTGTCCACTTAGGAAGCAACACTGATTGACAATATATTTCACATGCTGTTGTGCAAATGGAATAGACAACAGGTGGAAATTATAGGCAATTAGCTAGACACCCCCAATAAAGGACTGGTTTTGCATGTGGTGACCACAGACCACTTCTCAGTTCCTATGCTTCCTGGCTGATGTTTTGGTCACTTTTGAATGCTGGCGGTGCTTTCACTCTAGTGGTAGCATGAGACGGAGTCTACAACCCACACAAGTGGCTCAGGTAGTGCAGCTCATCCAGGATGGCACATCAATGCGAGCTGTGGCAAGAAGGTTTGCTGTGTCTGTCAGCGTAGTGTCCAGAGCATGGAGGCGCTACCAGGAGACAGGCCAGTACATCAGGAGACGTGGAGGAGGCCGTAGGAGGGCAACAACCCAGCAGCAGGACTGCTACCTCCGCCTTTGTGCAAGGAGGAGCAGGAGGAGCACTGCCAGAGCCCTGCAAAATGACCTCCAGCAGGCCACAAATGTGCATGTGTCTGCTCAAACGGTCAGAAACAGACTCCATGAGGGTGGTATGAGGGCCCGACGTCCACAGGTGGGGGTTGTGCTTACAGCCCAACACCGTGCAGGACGTTTGGCATTTGCCAGAGAACGCCAAGATTGGCAAATTCGCCACTGGCGCCCTGTGCTCTTCACAGATGAAAGCAGGTTCACACTGAGCACGTGACAGACGTGACAGAGTCTGGAGACGCCGTGGAGAACGTTCTGCTGCCTGCAACATCCTCCAGCATGACCGGTTTGGCGGTTGGTCAGTCATGGTGTGGGGTGGCATTTCTTTGGGGGGCCGCACAGCCCTCCATGTGCTCGCCAGAGGTAGCCTGACTGCCATTAGGTACCGAGATGAGATCCTCAGACCCCTTGTGAGACCATATGCTGGTGCGGTTGGCCCTGGGTTCCTCCTAATGCAAGACAATGCTAGACCTCATGTGGCTGGAGTGTGTCAGCAGTTCCTGCAAGAGGAAGGCATTGATGCTATGGACTGGCCCGCCTGTTCCCCAGACCTGAATCCAATTGAGCACATCTGGGACATCATGTCTCGCTCCATCCACCAATGCCACGTTGTACCACAGACTGTCCAGGAGTTGGCGGATACTTTAGTCCAGGTCTGGGAGGAGATCCCTCAGGAGACCATCCGCCACCTCATCAGGAGCATGCCCAGGCATTGTAGGGAGGTCATACAGGCACGTGGAGGCCACACACACTACCGAGCCTCATTTTGACTTGTTTTAAGGACATTACATCGAAGTTGGATCAGCCTGTAGTGTGGTTTTCCACTTTAATTTTGAGGGTGACTCCAAATCCAGACCTCCATGGGTTGATAAATTTGATTTCCATTGATCATTTTTGTGTGATTTTGTTGTCAGCACAAGAAAAAAGTATTTAATAAGATCATTTCATTCATTCAAATCTAGGATGTGTTATTTTAGTGTTCCCTTAATTTTTTTGAGCAGTGTATATTAGTACACTCAATACTTACTACCATAGGGGAGGTGGAGTAGTTAACATCCTCCAAGAGGACCTTGGCTGGAAATGACCATTTCAATGTGAAAGCCTGCAATTTCTGCTTGATGGACTACTACATTGGGGTCAATCTGCTTTAAGAAAATTTCAGGCCATTGCACTCTGTTCTATATGAGAACGTATATAACTCACAGACTGAGGGAAAGGAGAGCCTTCTGGGA